CGCAATTAAGTATATATGGTAATTATTTAATTTTAATAAAAATCACAAAATTAAAATTACAGGTCAAATATAATTTTTGAACTAATATATTTAATTCGTAATAAAGTATACCAGTGATAGTATTTTATCGTTACAAAATAATACAAAACTAGAATAAATTAATTACTCATAAAAAAATAAAAAAATAATTAAATAATTTATATTATTATGATAATAATAAAACATTTTATAAAAAAAACAGATTCAATAAATATAAGTATATATATAACATGTACTTATATTTATGAATCTGTTTTTTAATAAAATGTTTTATAAGCTTAGAAAAATTGACTTGACGTAACTAGCAATTTTATTTAATTATTTCACGACGGTTTGACGTAATAAAATGTTTTATTATTATTATTAAAATATAAGTTTAAATTCTTTAATTAATTTTTAATCTTTATGATTAATTTAATTTACTCTAATTATTTTTGTACGAGAGAAAAATACTATCATGGGTATACGTTTTATAATTAATTTAATATATTGTGTTTAAAAATTATATTTGACCTTTAATTTTAATTTTTATTTTATTAAAATTAATAATTAACATATATACTTAATTGCGAATTATATGGATGAAAAAAATCCCATTATGTGTGTAAGAGATTTCGGAACTCTTTGCTATAAAAATAATTAAAATTAAAAGTCAAATATAATTTTGAACACTTTTATATATAAGAATATATAATTCGGTTCCCGAAATATATTAATTCATTATAAAACGTATACGTGATATTATTTTTCTCATATAAAAATGACTAGAATAAATTAAATTAATTATTAAAAAACTAAAAAGTAATTAAACGACTTAGACTTAGATGATAATAATAATGAAACTTTATTAAAAAAAGATTCAATAACTAGTAGGTCAGGTTATAATTTTTTATTTATTTATTTATAACATTATGAGCTATTAAGCTCATCATCTCGTTCGCTCTCTGTCTTGCTTTCATTCGGCAAGTCACAAACGATATATGATACTCGTATGTTCCTACTTCAACTCTCGAGAATCTGAAACAAACGAAACTCGTGTCCAATACAGGGTGTCCGGTAACTAACAGACCAATGATTACAAATGGATTCTTTGGTCAATTTGGGAACGATTTTTCCTCAGCGAAAATGTCGAAAAAGGTCATCATTTTTTACAACTTTCCAATCTTTGTCATTATGTATCTTTATAACTAAGCCTTAAATTAAAATTTTATTATAGTAAACTCTACCTGAAATTAACTGAAGAATGTAATTATGTTAGACTTTTAACTCCAAAACGTTTAGTTTTCAAAAAACCTATTTTTTCAATCGCTTATAACTCGAAAATTATTGACTTCTCAACATTTTTGCTAAGGAAAAATCGTCTCCAAATTGGCCAGAGAATCCGCCCTTAATCATTGGTCCGTTAGTTACCGGACACCCTGTATATATTATATAAAAGTGTATAGCACGTCAGAAGCTTGTGAGCTTACAGCGATAAGTAAAAACAATTGCGTATCTATTTCATTGCGTTTATCTGTTTAAACGCGCGCTTAATTTTTCCAACGTTTTTGCCTGTTTATATTTTAAAGGTCCTCTCTTCTAAAAATCTTGTTTTAAAGATCCTCTCCGCGAGCAAAATTCGAAAACATAAATTATTTAATATTTTTACTTTATTATTTGTAAATCCTCGGTAATTTCAACATTTTTCTATTTGAAAATTATTAATTTTCTATTGCCAATTAATTTTATCACAGACTTTACTCTTACTCCCATTGCACTTTCGTTTGCGGTTTTCAGTATACGATTTTTATCGTAGTTACTGAAAATTATTATTGTGAATTATACTTGTGCAGTGATTTGAAGAATTTACAATTTCGTTGAAATTGTTGATTTTCAAAAAAATTACGAGATTCGCGGAAATTGCGTGCTTTCTTGGCATTTTCCGTTCGCGGCAGGCGGTTTATTTTTGATTGTTGCAAGTGTTTTTGTTTTTTTTTTTTTTTTTTGATAATAATAATGTGAAATAAATCACGATATTTGACAGATGTGCATATATATAGATATTGTAATAATAATAATATTATATCATAAAATTGTAAATTGTTTCAATTTTTATAGACTGCGATAAAAGATTTTACATTTGGATAAGAAACTGCGGTAAGTAAAAATATAAAATTCTTGAAAACGTACCAAAAATATTTGATAACGTAAAAAGGTGAACTTTGAAAAATAAGGAACTTAAAAATTGCACTAATAAATGGGCTATATGTGAGAGCCGTGCGCGGATGTAAGGTGTGTTATATCGAAATTTAATTAATAGAATTGAGAATTAATCCCAATTTTAAGTCTTACAAATGTCCAAGCTAATTTTTTGTACCTCGTGTACATTTTTGAAAGTTATATCGAAAAATTAAATTTCAATATGCGTCTTACATCTCACATTTCGCATACGGCTCACATATAGCCTATTTATCTCTTATACTTTATTTCAACCCTTATAGAAATTTATTACTAGTAACGCCAATTTATCACTTATTTCGAGTAATTAATCACTTTTATTTCGAATACTTAAATTACTGTATATTATAGTATTTTAAATACTCAAAATAAGTGATTAATTGGCGTAGTGATAAATTTCTACAAGAGAATAAGGAGCCTTTAAATTCTTAATGTAAAAAATTTCAAGTAATTTTCTTTAATAAAATTTAATTAAAAAATTTAATTAAAAATTTTTGAACACTGTGTTATATCACATTTAAAATCGTGATTATTTCAATAAAAAACATTTTATGTGTAAAAATATATTTTTATATTTAATAAATTTTATATATATATATGCATATATGTAAAATATCTCTCTCTCTCTCTCTCTCTCTCTCTCTCTCACACACACACACACACACACACACACACACACACAACGGGGGCCAAATCTCTCAAATTGGTCTCATGATCAATTAGCCTGGATTCGCACCAGGGGCAAAGTCTGTTGGTAATGTCAAACGAATTTAGCCTGGACTTGCACCAGGGGCAAAGTCTTTTGGTCGAGTCTACGAAATTTAGCACGGACTCGAACCAGGGGCAAAGTCTTTTGGTTCAAGTCTACGAATTTAGCACGGACTCGAACCAGGGGCAAAGTGTGTCGGTAAGGGGCAAAGTCTATCGCACGAAGATGGCGGTTCTTTTAGGCAGGCCTTTGGCGATCTGTCTATTAATCTGTGTCTCTGATACATACGATCACAAACTTTATGGCATGAACTAAATATTATTCATGATGAGAAACCTTTCACACGCCGTCTGCTCCCTTAAATGGTTCGGTTCCGTGTGATCCCGTGATATGGTTCATTTCCGAACTATCGGAACCAAGTTGAGACAGACACTCATTTCGCGTATCAACTATCTATATTTGAATTATTCTTAGGTTCATTCATATAGGTTATCTTTTAGTATTAAAAACAAATTGAGTAATAAATTGATTTTTTTTGTATAATATTGTGAAACTTATTTATTTTCGATAATAAAGTTTTTAAGAAATATTTGCGATAATTTGAAAAAAGATTTGAGAAAAATGAGAGAAGTTCTACTCACAAATTGTGAACGAAATTTGTAAACAAATGTATAGAAGAGGAAACGGTATACATAAATTATTTTTTTTTATATTAAATTTTTGGGATTTTAATTAATTAAAATTTATATTTACTTATGGAGACATATATTTTATTATAAATTATATTAACGAAAATAGATATAAAATTCTATAGAACATTTAATATTATTTCAGAGATTAGATGGCCGAAGATTATTAGAAGCACGACCAGTGAAGATTTATTTTGGCTCCAAATGGGGATGTTGTATGGTGTCTCTTGGACATACTAAGTAAATTTATTTACGTTATACGGATCATCTCTATCTTTAATAAATATATATAATTAAAGGAGTATCTTTTTACAGAGCAATAGCACAAGTGTCATGTGACATACAACAACCAAAAACTGCTCGCCCTAATGAAGGCACAATATATATAAATGTTGAACTTGCTCCATTAGCAGCACAACACTTTGAAAGTGGCAGACCATCTGAGGCTGCCATATTGATCAGTAGACAGCTGGAAAAGTGTTTCAAAGATTCAAAGTGCGTAGACTTGGAATCTCTTTGTATTGTAGCAGACAAGAAGGTTACTGCATACTAATATTTAGTATTAAATATTGTACAGTATATGTTTATATATGTACATAAAATGTGTTTTTTCTTTAGGTATGGAATTTAAGACTTGATGTTAATATCATAAATCATGATGGGAACTTGATTGACTGTGCTTCTATAGCAGCACTGCTGCTCTTATGCATTTCCATAGACCAGACGTTACTTCTACTGGCGAGGAAATTATTATACATTCAGCATCCGAAAAAGATTTTCTTCCATTAACATTATTTCACTATCCAGTTTGTATATCTTTTATAACTTTTGAAAGGTAAACAGTCTATATTATTTGCTCTTTAAATTTTTATTAACATAACTTAATCATAATTAATTTTAATCTTGTTTAAGAATACATCAATAAAGTTCAATATTTTCTAAGACAATATATATATAAATAATACAATATCTTTCTCTTTCAGTGGCAACACCATAATGGATCCAACATATACTGAAGAAAGAGTTGGTGTTGCCGAACTTACTCTTGGCATGAATTCTTATAAAGAACTCTGCAGTTTGCATTTCGATTATTTAACGAAAACTATGACGGTCGAAGACGTTATATCTGCTGTTTCTAATCATGCAGCAAGTTATGCAGCTAATTTAGTGCAACAGATTAAGGAGGCTGTAACTAAAGATGTACAATCACGGTAAGTATATATATAAAATCTCAACATATATAATCTCTTAAGTTTATAATTTTAAAAATATTTTCTTAATATATAAAATATAATAACTTGGAACAGTTATTAATAAATGAATTAAAACACACAACACACAATATTCTATATCTTTTCATCAGATGAATGTAATCAAATCAATTAACCAATTAATGCAATAAAAACAATTTTTTATTTTGTAATTATGTATTAAAAAGAGAAAAACAAGTTTTTAAATTTGTGAATTCAGTTTATGCTCTTTATTTCAGATACAAAAAAGATAATAACAACACATGTCGATTTAAAGAAAGCATTCAAACTGATAAGGTTACAACAATGATAGGTGATCACATTACTATTAAGTTACGAAAATGGGACGCGACAACTATGGTAGAAGGTATATTTTTAATTTTTATCTAATTATATTTTTTATATACAATTAAAATTATAAATAATAAAATTTAAATTAATTTTGTTTTCATTATATTAAAATTGAATTAAAATGATTAAAATTAAAATTAATTCTATTTTTTATTTTAAGTTTCTCAATTCGATTTAATAATTCGTAATTTATAAAAAGTGTGCACTTTAAATATTTTATTTAATGATAAAAATGTATAGATGACTATATGGAAATAGAACATGAGAACAAGAGCTGTATTATAAAATACAAAGAAGGAACTGCTGAATTAATACCTGTTGTCGATGTAAGTATGAAAAGAAGTATTGCTTACAATATTGGCTTCTCTCTTACTATTAAGTTACGTACTTAATTTTAGTAATTTTCTTGTTTGCTAATTGACATCATGAATAATTGTTATAATATTCTTGCAGGATTCAATTAAGACAGAAGAAAATTATAGCAATATGTATGACTCGGATTCAGACAATCAGTGCCTTGAATCGCCGACCTCAGAAAAAAAACCCATAGTGATAGATTTAGGTATTATAAATATTGATTTCTTCTTTTTTTTTAAAAAGAAAAATGGAAGCTATTATGATCTAGTTAAATGATGAAAAAAAAATTTGACATCAAAGACTGAATATAAAACGATCTTTTCATCTTTTATTTTAAATATTTTTTTAACTTAAAGAATACAAATTAATTTATAACTATTAATGATACATCATACAAATATATAATCATTAATAGATTGTTCCATTTTTCTTTGATTGATTCTAGATTCAAAAATTAATATAAAATTAATATAAAATCATCTTAAACTAATATTTAAAAAGAAACAAAGATTATGTTATAAAAATTTGGAAAACTTTATAACAGAATTTATAAAGAAGAAAATTTTTGTTTTTGATTAGCAAATGTCATTTAGTGTCATATGATAGGAAAACTAAATTCTATAGATATTTAAATAATTTTAAAACATACTTTTTTATTTATTTCAGTGGATGACAGCGATTAAATCGATGCAGCAATGTAAAAAAAAGATGTGTGTGAAATAAATCTTTTAAGATGATTAATTATTTGTTATAAATCTAGTTTTTTTTATTTTATGCTACTTTCATACATTTTTCTAAAATGACACACCAATTACCTTGATCGTAGTAGACTTCCTTAATCATGACTGCAAATACTTCCATGCATAGTTTTGCGAGTTCATTTTCTTGAAATACATGATAATACCTCAAGAAACGTTCGCCGTCCTTTTTTTTCCAAGGAACTAACATGTCGCTGTGAGCAAAGTTTGTTCTGTTTTCATGAACCGGCAATGTTAAGCAATATTGGGAAATGTTCTCGTGATTGATTTCACTCTGATCAAGCTTTTCGGTCTCGTCTTTGTTCTTTTTTCCGTACTTCAAATAGCATGAATCCGTAGAATCCTTGCGCTGCTCTTTCGCCCACACATAAATCAAGCATTTTCCTGTTGGTCTTAACACTCTAACCATTTCGGAAATGGCGCGTCGTCTCCGTTCCGGAGTGGAAAGATGATGAATCACCGCAATACTGATGGCTGCATCCACAGAATTATCTCTGTATGGCAAATACAGACAATCACATTGGAGAACTTCGAAGCCTCGCTTACAACATATATCCGTCAGTCCGGAACTACGATCACATCCCACCTGAAAGGATCCTTAGAGATAATGTTCTGATGGCTTGCTTCAATGTGCTAACTTTTTTTACATTTTATTTTATTATATATATATTTTTAATTTTTTAATTATGTATATAAATGTATATATTTCAGTTGATTAAGTACTAAAATGATTTGAATAACAATACCTTATATATATTTCGATCTCCATAAAGATATTTGCCATTACCACAGCCTACATCCAACAGCAATGTGCCTTCTTCTAAACTTTCAAGGAACTTTGTTACATTAGGCCATTGTTTGTGTCGCGTCTCACTAAAGTGATTAGATATTTTCTCATAAACCTAAGAAAAGCAATTTCAATATAATAATAAAATATATTTTCATAAATTTCAGCCACAATCTATGTACCTTATGTACATACGAATCTTCCAGTCCTGATGCTGTCTTGGCATCAACGAAATTAGAAGTATCGGATCTTGTATCACAGTATTTTTGAAATTACAACAACAGCCACCTCGTCGCACCTTCCTGAAGGTGAAGGACACTCTGATGCCGCGTTCCCGTGTTGTGGGTCCATTCTTTGTCTCAATTACATCACTATGACGGGGACAGATGCCATGTGTCCATGCATATCTTGCCTCCTCTGTCATGATCAACAAAGATCTAGTTGGCAGGTATACATTGAGATTATGATCTTCCTTTTTGAAGTTCATGATACATGCAGAACCTAGTGACAAGGATAGTATCGTATCTTCGAAGACACTGTGTGTATCAATGTGTGGTGGTATACCTTGAAATGTTGTACAATTAGCTATTTTGAATAGTTTTTATTTTCCAAATCAGTCCATAAATTTGTGCAAATTTATTAAAATTTTTCATTACAATTAATATTTTATATAAATTAAGAACATTACTTACTAACATATAATGAATAAGTGATAAATTATTAGTTAAATTAAACTTAATGAGCATATAATTCAATTTATATGAATTGATATAATTAATTGTGAGAAGTCAGTATTTGAAGAATTTATACAGAAGAAAAACTATAATATTTATTCACTTTTTAAACATTTCTAAGAAATAAACATGAAATTTATGAACTGACAAAGACAGAAGAGCTGTCACCTTGTCCAGGTAGATATTTGTTGATGGTCAGCTGATCATATATATATTTATGATTATGCTTGTTGAATAGAGTTTGCAGGAACTTGTAATCCTGTGGAATCGGCGCGATTGGATTTTCAGGATTCACCATATTTGTGCCATATTCAAACTCATATCCAAAATGTTTTACTTGTCTATGTTTCAACTGTGATGAGACAGATTCTGCAACAGTATATATATTTCTTTCAGATTATCTTCCTTCATTAGCTTGTATTTTTTAAATATACTCTTAGCATATTTTACCACATTCGTTTTCCCAATTGAGTGTCCTTAACAAAGTTTCTTCTTGCTCCTTTGTTATAAAATTCTCTATTAAAGTAAGACCAGGTGGAAATGTAGAATTGAGCGTAACATTGTCTATGCTAGGAGCTAAAATATTATTATGTTATTACACTGCTTTGACACTTTATCTGTAATACTTCTATTTAAATATTATCATAACACTGCCTACCTGTTTCAGTATAGCATACATATAATGGTCCATTTTGACCAGGAAGCTTAATACGTCCATGAACATAATTATATACACATATCGCATCCTCTTTTGAATTGCATGTTATGAAACAGTATGACTTGCCTGTTGGCATTAACAAAACATACTTGGAGATCAGTGCATCTAATACGCATTGCAATGTTTCCCTTTTAATACCGGTAACTAAACCACCGTTACATATCATCAAGTGCTGTAGAATAAAATACAAAGTTAATAATATAAAATATTAATGATCTCGACAATAAAACTTTCCATTACAATAACATACTGATATTTACCTGAGTGGGTCGATCAGAGCATTTAATGTTCATATCTCTAACTAGTCTGTGATGAGCACGTTTCTGTTTGCGTAAACTCTTTTTATCGTTCCTATCTTTATGATTTTCAATTACAACACTTGTTTCGTCACTCGAAGACATAATTCCCGATACTTAAACGTTTTAAGAAAAAAATATATATAATCTTGTCTCTTATCTTCTTTCATTACAAATATTGCAAAAGAAAAGTAAATATTTTTTATAAAATAATCAATAAGGAAAAGAAGATAAATAAAAATGTTGTCAATCCTTTATGGATGCATCTTAATTACAAAGATTAATAATATGCATATAATATTTGACATTTCTCGCTTCATTCATTTACAGAAAACCTGTAAATCTCATGTCTCCAAAACAGAGAAACCTAGCCTGCAAATTATGCCATAAACCATACAACTAACACAGATGGAAGAAAACGCGAGAAAATGATTCCCTCTAAAGAGACGCCTTCGAAAATTTCTGAAACAATCGAAGATCGAGATTGAAGATGACGATCGAAAATTCCACCAATCAGGAAACAGGAATTCTGGTGATTTGTAGTCTTCAACTTTTTCAGCTACGTTCGCGCGAGCTTCGCGGCTTTCCCGAGCCAAGCCAAGCCAACTTCCCACCTCAACGTATCTCTTCGTATATATCGTGGAAAAACGGATACGTTTGCGAACGACGCGTGACCGTTACGATATTTCGTTCCCGGCACGAGAAGCGAGTAGTTGGCCGAAATAGGTTGTGAAACTGACAAAAGCTCGGGCGCCATATTGCGAGCTTGTGTTTGGTTAGCATTCTGGCGCGTGGTGAAGAAGTTTGTTGTAATTTAATTGATAAACGATGTCCGACAATCAGGTAAGCAATCCGCGAGGGCCGCACGTTCGGCGGCACTACCCTCGTCTTCGCCGTCCGAGACTTCGGTCGCGAGCGCGCAATTTTGCGACAATTAAAAATTCCGTCAATCTCTTACATCGTTTTGCCGAGTGTTTAAACTAGCGCTCTAACCTTGCCGTGTACCATTAGGAACAAAAGCCCGAAGCCGGCCCAGGCGACGCAAATTCGGAGTACATCAAGCTCAAAGTCGTCGGAAATGTAAGCGATCATTTTTTTGCATGTGTATACCTCAATTTCGCGACTTTAGACTGCACGAGAGATCTCCTGTCTTTCTTTCTCTTCTCTTCCAGGACAGCAATGAAATTCACTTTAGGGTAAAGATGACCACTCAAATGGGCAAGCTAAAGAAGTCCTACAGTGATCGTGTGGTAGGTTTTCTTATTTTCTTTAATCTGTGTGAAAAATGTTCTAAAAATGATGTAGAAACAAATTTGTATATCTTGAGATTTTTTTTTTTAGTTTATTAATATTTTTTCATAATAATGTGTGTAGGAATGTATACAGACCTTCTTGACCTTAAGAATTTTTTTTTTGTGCAATAACAATAGTTTTTGTACATTGAATAAACTGAATGTTTTGTGCAAATATTAATTGTTTGAAAAATATATTTTTTTCAATCTGTAGTGGTCTCTGAGATTTTATATACTGGATTACAAGACTTGCTAATTTTATTTGTTAAGTGTGTTATTCACATGTAATAATGAATTTAATTCTATTCAGGGTGTACCTATGACATCGCTTAGGTTTCTTTTTGATGGTAAAAGAATCAATGATGATGAAACACCAAAGCAGGTAAATTAATATGTAGGATTAATAGAAAAACAATTTCAGTTTTCTTTAAAATCCTCAATTTCTAATTAATTAAAATTTAAGAATGTTATATATATATATATATATATATATATATATATATTTTTTTAAATTAAATATTTTTGAATATTTAAAAAAATAGATTTGAAATTAATTAGAAAACATTAAAAAATATGTATTATATACTTAAATGTGAAATTGAAAACATTTGTATTTATATATGTATATGTAAGAATAGATGTATTTATGAATGAATTGAAGGTATTTTTAATCAAATCTGTATTGATTTCAGCTTGAAATGGAGAATGATGATGTGATTGAAGTATATCAAGAACAAACAGGTGGTCATTAATTGAATTAGGGGAGAAGAGAAGGCTTATTATTTCGTTCTAATATTTCTTAAAGTGAAAGTGACTATCATAAAAAAAAAAAAGATGGACAAGTTTACTATGCATATATATATATTATATACACACAGACACAAATTATTAATATGTAATTTTTTTTGACTTCACGTACAATATTGTAAAATGTGCTGTCTTACATTCCTGTATCAAGAATCATCACTGGGGAAGTTATTTAACTTATCCCCAGATCATTTTATAAAACTTGCATGCGGACAGTTATGCCTTAAGATTGCACACTCTGTCTTCTTGGTGTGTCATCAGGGCAACTCTCAGAAATAGACTAACTGAATTATCCGCAATTCTAAATGCGTTTCACATTTATAAGTTCCTTGTCCATTCATACTTGTCCTCAAAATTTACTTTCTTTCTTTCCTTTTTTTTACCTATTGTAATGAATATAAAAAAAAAGATGTGAATATGATATAACAAAATTGTTACATTTAAGGTATATAATAAAAGTAATGATAATTGTAAATCTTTTTCTTTTTCAAATAACTGCAATAATTAATAAAAATAATTTGTGAAGCGCAAGTTTTAAATTTAAGGATATTTAGAATTGACATAGTTCCTTGTTCGTTTTTCAACATTTTTTTTTTTAGTAAAATCAATATGTAATTAAGTAATTTTTGAGTACTTTTCGAAAATTTATTCTCTATTATCCTCTTTGAAAATAGTTTTGCATAATTTTATTTTAAAGATTTATAAGTTTTTGCAATAAGAATATTAAACTTATAAAAAGTATATAAGAGTATATATGAAAATCCTTAACATTTATAAAAAAAAAAATGCAGTGGAAAATATATGATATATACAGCTATCATTATATTGCATATAATTGTTTGAATATGATTGTAAAAGTATAAGCATTTCTTAATGATAAATGAAAGATAAAAAAAATTTAATTAAAGAATTTAATTAATTAAATTTAATTTAAGAATTTAATTTAATTTTCTGGTCTTTATTTTAATCATACATGTTTTATCATAGATTCTTATATACTAAAAGCAAAAAACACCCCTAAAAATAATTATATAGTTATATATACAAATCATCTTGTTTCGCGAGCCATTGTCTTACATGATGCAGTATATAGCGAGTTATATATTATTATTACATATTTACAATACGAAAGTGCACTCTAGAAAAAGCAATCTCATTTTGATAACATGTCTAACATATATATAGGGAGTTTAAAATCGAGAAGTCTACATTTTATATATACAGCATGATCCACGCATAACTCATAATCTTGATTTTAATATAAATTTAAACAGATAATTTATTCATTAATTGCTCATTTTAATTTATAATAAAATTAAATAAAATTAATATGAATATATATATATATATATATATATATATATATATATATGATTTTATTTATTACTAAAATTAATCGAACTATTAATCTAATTTTTAATTTATATTTATGATTTCTCTCATTTTCCGTTTCTCTGTTACTCCCTTAGTATAGTTCACGAAAATTATTTGCTACCAGGTACTATTTTTAATAAAGAAGAAAACTCGAAATTTATCAAAAATTTCGTCATTAAAATTATAATTGCAAGAGAAATGTGAAATATTTTACATCACTACTCTGCTATTCAAAAATATCCGATATATAAATTGTAAATGATAACAAGCAATACGCCGCAGATCAATATCTCATTCAACATGTGTGCTATGGTAAAAAAAGGGGATTGTCATTCAAAATGACATCCAAATTTAAAACAAATTCTTCGGTATATTCCAATGCTATAGACTATTAATAATATAGTAAATTTTCCAATAATTCTTGAGCACTTGTGTAATTATTTGCAAATAATCAAGAAATATGAATTTATAATTACAAACAAATTTAATAGTTTTTAGTAATCTATAAATTTAATATCCAAATAATATAATATATTATTATATAATATATAACTTTTAACAATTAAAAATATAATTAATATATATTCAAAATAAAAATAATTTTAACAAAAAGCAACTCAGATCAAATATAAAAATTGTGTCTATTATATGAAAAGAATCTATAATTTATATATATAATCAATTATCTATAATAATTGTATACATAGTCATGTATGTAATTAATTTATATCATGAATAAAATATTAAAAACAAATATTTTTTTACATTTATCTATAATCTATAGCATCGGAGAATAATCCGAAGTGAAATTTTCTCTACATTGTTTTTGTAATAGTAACATATCTATGTAACAAAATGTTAATCTTATTTTATTCCTCGTATTATTGATATTGGGCGTAATGGACAGCTCTATATTGTATCCCAAAACGAGGAATTATCGATTTTATTATCGTGTCATGCGCTTGTTGTCACGTGACAACAATTTTCGATCGACATTTAATGCATTTGACGCATTCTCACATCTTTCATTTTCGATTTATACAATTTTGCCTTTCTTATGCCATAAAGATTAAATATATCAGGAGAGGATTTGTAAATAAAATAATATTTCTGATTATATTATATAGATTCTTCTAGTATCTTTGTCGTCGGGCATAAATATAACTATAGAACAGAAAGCATCTAAAGACATCAGTCTTCGACATTCCTTTCCTTCATATTCTCATTTCTAACAATATGATCTTGTTCATAGCAATATTTGGAAAATTAGTGTATTTTACATACAAAATATAAATACTCGCGAGAAAATGTGCGTTTGCTTTACATACATGTATCTGCGAAGTGTTTGAGAAGTAAATATATATATATATATAAATTCGAAATTATTATCCATTTCCAAAACGAGTGATTCAATTACTCGAAGCAATACATGAGTTTCATCTCTTTGCGATTATTATTATTACTTAAATATTGTTTTCTTCTACAAAGTAGAAACGCTACATATTATAAGTACTTTTTTAATTATTAGAACATATATTTTATATATATATATATATATATATATATATATATATATAATATAAGATATAATATATGTATATACAGATGCATGCATTTCATTCTAATCTTTCCTATAATAATCACCAAAATTAGTAGCTATTAAAAAAATAAAAACGTACATATTTGAGAATCGCCAGACAGAATTTAAAAAAGTAAAACTCTTCTCTCGACCGTACTGGCAAATATTATTTATTAAATCACAATGTTTCGACCCTTCTTTGAGTCCTAATCAAGTAATTTGTGAAAATAAAAATAAAATTATAATTTTAAGATGTCAAGAACGAATATAGTGTCGGTTTGACAATACGTCAAGACTCTTAGACGAGTTATGAGAGACTGAGTCTCTCATTAATTTTATTTTTATTTTCACAAATCACTTGATTAGGACTCAAAGAAGGGTCGAAACGTCGTTATTTAATAAATAATATTTGCCAGTACAGTCGAGAGAAGAGTTTTACTCTATTAAAAAAAGTCTCATATTAATTACTCTATTTCATATATTCGTCAGTTTGGTGTGCAATTTAAAAGAGTCGTTAGCTTTTAATGATTTTTTTTAGTATCCACTTGTTTCAGAGATAATTACGCGGAAAGATTAAATTGGGAACGGTCCGGTGTATATATTTAAATAAAATGTACAAGTTTTTATAATTTGAGAGCATCATACATAATTTCTACATAAGTAATATGCATTATTCAAGTTATCATGCATGATGTCATTATGCATGACAATTTTTTTTTCAAACGAATGTTTTTGTAATACTTTCATTTGTCATTTTTATGCCTACTATATTTATTAGATTGCATAATAAATATATAATATCTATTAAGAGTGATCTATTTCTGTTAGTCTCTAAAGCGCGCGGGCATTACTGCGAAAGAGCGAGGCATTTTGCGTGAGAATAAATTGCGGGAATATCGAGAGCAATACAGAAAGAAAAGAAGAAGGGAAAGGCAAAGTCTTCTTCGATTTTGAGATTAAGAGTAACGGGCGATGTGTGATAACATTGTGAGGGGTCACAGAGCGTCGCGATGCCACACCCATGTTTTCTTTGTATGGTCGAATCGATGTGCCAGCCATTGTTGCTCCAGTAGTTGATATCTGTCCTGGCTAAGATATAGAGGCTTGCCACGTCTGTAACAATAAAATTATTTTTATTAATGAATATAAAGTAATAGTAACAAACTAAACAAGAAACTACCTCTATTTTAGAAATCTAATTAACAACTATTGTTATATGGAAAAGAAAGAGAAAAATAAACTGTATTGTCATTAACATTGAAGTAATAAATACTTAATTGTATCATTATTTATAACGTTTTTTCTTTTAATGAATCGTACTCACTTTAGATCTCTATCCTCCTCCTCGAAGTCATCGAGATATAAAGATCCCCATAAACATGCTCGTCGACCACGTATCACGATAATGTAAGTAGAAGTCACTACGAGATAGATGCCAGTTCCACCTCCACAATCGATCGAATGCTATAAATGTATAAGAATATATAAAATTTGTATAAATTTTTTCTTACAAATAAATTCGCTATTTGCTTCATAGATAATATTTTATTTTCTTGCGCATTTATAAAATGTGCTCACCTGAATAGCTTCGCACACATTCATTTGTTTGCAACAGTTTTGTTTGAGGCAGACGATAGTGCCGCATAATAAACAAATACTAATTTCCTGCGGGACAGAATGACACTGGCTGCACTGTCGTTCGTGGTAATACTAAAAAAGAAAATAGATATAATATAGTTACGTGGAGATAAATAGCCATATATGCGAATAAAAATAGTATATTTGAATAAAAATAATATATATTATTAAATATATAAAAAAACACATGCAAAGCACGGTGCATAATACCGAAATCTTACTTTAAACGTCTCATATATAAAGTATCATGTTAATTATCAGATTTTTATAATATCTTTAAACGCAAAATATTATTTTCCAACTACTGGATTACCGTGAAGATTTTTTCGTATTCTCTCGGAAGACTCAGCAGCTTCGGCATATGCCAAGATATGTGCTGCTCTCTGATGAGACCACGAGCCGGTTGATGATTCTGCCAGTTGGCAAGAAATGCGAGCAACTGATCGCACCAGAAAAGAGGCACCGAGACGCTCGCCTCTGGATCCTGCCAGTTCAACGCCACCGTTGAATCGAAGCTTTCCCAACTCATCCCTTCCGTGACCAACTCCAAATAGTACACCAATCTCACAAACTCGCTCTGCTGCGTTCTGATTAGCGGTAACGGCTGTTCATACAGGTGATAACGCAGCAACGATGCCACTCGCAGAAATGGCAAACATAACGACTGGATCTAAATCGATGAAGAATTAAATGTATAAATAATATATATAATATATGTATATTTGCGCGAACTTTTTTCAAAGATTATCGTTTAATTATTATATTAAAATGTATAAAGACAATTAATATTTTAGAAAATATTCGTTTTGAAAGAAAAAATTACAAATTAAAACTGTATTATTCGATTTAAAATGCATACTTGTTGCTCGACACAGTGCGTTTTTACTCTGGCGTAAGTGGGAGACGATGATGTAGACGGCTTATCGTCATCTGGGCCAGAGTAAACTCCGCTCTCACTAAAATATTCGATAATCTCGGCCAATATGGTTTCCGAAGGCGTGGTAGCACAGTTACATCTCCTTTTAAGAATTGTGTTTCGTTCGGCTCGCGAGAAATTACAACTTATCTGTAGTATCACTTGATAGTACAGTAAGTTATAAAGAACCTTTACTACGCCTGAGAAATATGCTGTGGAAAAAGAATACATTAGTTTATTCGCTGTCCGATTACATCCCGGATATGCATCACGCCATCTATTTCGACATATACATAGTCCAAGAAAACGATTTTATAATCATTTACTTTTAACGTAACATTCAATATAACATCAAATATAACTACAGTGAAGAATCCCAGAAATTTTAATTAGAACATGTCGCAATGTAGAACGTGAGCGCGAAATCAAGGCCATTTGATATATTGAAATATGCATACTTTGATCCAGGTGCAGCGGCAACAACAATATAAATTGAATAAGCATAGCGGTTGGGTCTCGCAAGAGTAAAGGAACCTCTCTTTCGCGTGGCGTCAAGGCGAACGAAGGCGCCGGTTCTTCTATCAGCGGTATACCAGACAGCTGCTGCCAGACGTGATGCACCGGCCAAGTAATCAGTACACGAGCATGCATCGCCAAGACGTGAAGAAGCGCGACTGAAAGAAAGGTACAAGTATTTTCTTGATTAGTGTTTCTACAAATTAATATTATACATATATTAAGTATATATGAAAGAATATGAATAAGAAAATAAGGTGAATCGATTGATATAAGTCAATGAGTCTAGAAATGTTAACGTACCTATGCAATCGCGTTTAGGTGTTAGAGGTATCGTGGTGGGTGATGGAACGCACAACGATCCGCCACGTTGCACGAGTTCGATCTCAAAATTGGTTCGAGCTACTGAAGTTACGAAAAGGAACAAGCTTTGGTGACTAGGTTTACAGTTCTTTTGCTTATATTTTAGATACGTGCAACTCGTCATGTCCTCCATTGCTTTTCCCATCGCCACAGCCAGATTTGAAGAGATCTGTAAACAATGGATATACTCAGCAAATGCGTTCTTGATATTCTTGAAATTTTATGTATATTTATATCAAAATAAATTATTCTCGAATTATAAAATGGTTAAAAAAAGAATACGTACCGGATTTCGATGTACCTCTTTGAGGAAAGTATTCAGGTCTGCGAATATGGTTTTTGTGGAAGCGTGACGAGATCGCACCACTGCCGAGCACTCGCCTAATTGTGGCGACAACGGCAAAACAGAATTGGCCAACTGTCGACAGAGCGGACACAGGTACTCGCCCCGTTCCACTGCTAGACTCTGTTGTCGTTGCTGACTACGAAGAGATTCTAGATAGGATTTTAAACAATCCAAGTGCAGGTGGTGACCGCACGTTTGTACATGGACACCGCCTTCCCAGCCTAGATTGACTGAAATTAGCCACGAAAACTGCAAGAACACAAGAAAATATATATATAGTGTTATATGAGGAAAATGTAATAAAAAACAATTATTCTCATAACTGAAGAAAATATGTAAAAGACTGAGTAAGTATTAAAAATACATGTCTATCATTATATGTACTATTTGCTTACTGTGTGAAATAAACGACTCATTTCGTCCATTCTGCGATCAAAATGAGCGCCCCTAGTATTTCCTTTCGGTATAGCTGGATCCTCATCAGATGTGGGAAGAACCAGCCTGTCCGATTCTTGTCGTTCGTGGCCAATAATACTAGTTGCCTGTATCAAGAAATCATACTAATTCGTATAAAATAAAAAAAAATCTTATGCTATTAAAATACTACTTTGTACTGTAATAAAAGATAAAATATTTTGAGAATTAACACAAAAACAGAAAACGCATTACCTGAACTAATACAACAAGTCCCATTGGCTTGTCCTCGCTGCTGGGAGTAGTTTGATTACATATCACACAATCGTATTCCTTTTTACTAGTCAGTTTAGTCGCGTTCTCCTCCTGATCCCAGTCCATTCCAGATGCACTTGCTTCCTCTATAAAATAAATAAAGAAATAGGCATTTAATCAATTGAATAACTAAATCAAAGCTTTTTAAAACCAAATTAGAAAGGAATTTATTGCTTTTTAATTTACATTTTTGTTGTTTAAATAAAATATAAATTAAATTCTATCACAAAATTATTTTGTAATAATTTATATACAACTTGTATGTATATAATATATTAATATAATTATTTTACCGGTTTTCATCGCTTTTTCCATAAATTGCTTCTGTTTGTTGGCGAATTCCGCCATCAACTTTTGTTGCCTCTCCTTCGCCCTCCTTCGTCGCTCTTCCCGTTCACGATTTTCCTTCTCACGCTGCTCATCCTCCTCGCATTCCTGCATGCGGGGCCACAATTTATTCCTAGTCTCGATAATAGTTTGTTTGCACATAGGATCTAAATCCGCTATTTTCCTAAGTAGCTGTGATATAAAGAATGGCCCGTCGCCAATCCGCGAGTCGCTCAGCGACGACGGCGACGCGAAAGAACTACTGCTGCTGCTACTGCTACCGGCTTCGTTATCTGGTATTGCACTTTGTTCGGGATTATAGCTGTCCGGTACGCCCGATAGTTGAGAATGTAACTTCAACAGCAAAGAAATTATGCTCTCTCCCACTTTTACACTTTGTGGTTGCATCAATCCAACCTGGAAGATATACGAGTACTTTGTAAAAACAAACATGTGTATTGTGTGTACAAAAAATATACATATTATATAAAAAAGGACATGTATTCTATTACCTGTGGCTCTCTCCTTTTAAAATGTTTGTGAGGATTTGATGTGGATGGAACAATTTCTGTAGTCCTGTAGTTAACTGGCTGTGCCATTCTACTAGCCGTGACTATCTCATTTCCAGCCATAACTGCTGGACGTAGAGGAGCTGGTAGTAACGCAGGTTGGCCACCGACTACATCTAATTATTAGTAAAAGATTATATAAAATATAAATAAAATAATAAACTGTAAATATTACAAGATGTAACATATTTTATGCATTAAAATTGATTAGAATAAAATTTATTTAAAAATAAATTTTTTTAAAGCTATATTAAAATGATATTCTAATAAAGATGAACACGTACTATTTGGCGAAGGTGGCGATTCAATCGCTAGAGCCATAGATTCTTCTTCAGATGATGGTAGAGCTCTTTGCAAAGGTACTGTTAGATCATCCTCGCTGTTACTACGGGGTATAGCGACGACTCCATCTTCAGGTACAATCAAATCATATTCCACTATAATGTAATAAAATATTATAACAATATTGTGTACTTAGATTATTTCTATATACTATTCTAAATAGTATTATAGAGAAAATTTCATGAAACGGTTCACAAAAATCATATAATTGACATTATAAACGTCTGATAGAATATACTTTAAATAATACACAATATATTTTTGATTATTAAAAGATAATTTATATATATAATTTAATCAAAAAAAATATTGCTGACCACTTGTTGATGGTAAAGCTGGCAAGGGTACAACACTTTCAACTGACGGCAATAAAGCCGGCAGAGACGTCGCGTTCGTATTCGATACGCCACTGTCGTCTCTCACAGTGTCTACGGAAAATCCTAAAAGCTCCAGAGAGCCTTCCTCTACACCGTCGTCAGCACCATCGTTCAGCATCAAGGATGTTGTCACTTCGCTCATCTCTCCTTGCATCTCCCATTCAAACTCACCTAATCATTATTAAATACATTAACAAGTGTTAGAATGTTATTATATACAATACATCAGCATGTCTCGCTGAAACTTATTAAATAGTTTTATCATATTGTATTTGAATGTTGAATATAAATTTGTTTTCAAACATTTTTTTAATCAGTGTTTTCTCTTAAGTAAATCATATTATATAAAAAACTATATCGTAATGAGATTTACTGTTTTTAATATGTCATATAATTACATAATACTCACTGTCTGAGCTGTTTGGCTCCGACTCTTGGACTAGAATCACTCGAGGTATCACTGTCCTCAGATTTTCGGATAAACTATCGCTTTCATACCACCCACCTAAATCCATATCCTTTATCACCCGAGAACTACCACCGGTATATTGACATAAAGGACTTACCTAGAAATGATTATATCATGTAAATTAATCAAATGGATATAGAATTCAAGATAGATGTATAAGAATTGTTGTCTAAGAAGAATTATTATAAGTACTATTATAATTCTTGCTTATTTATTACATAGATTACGAAACCTAAAGAGATATCTTGTTTCAAATAATCTAAAAAATTATTTTATCTAAAGAATTAGTTACTTACAGATTTATTCGGTGAATCCGCAGTAATCACCGCCATTTCCAAGAGATAAATAGCTAACGCCATAACATGTTCCGATATATTATGTCCATTCACAGCCTTATACAGTATTATCAAGATCATAGCATGAAAGACCCTGGTGCGTAAAACGATCCGGGGATCGTCGTAGTCCGACGACACCGGAGCGGGATGCCTGAATGGCGGCCAAGGAGTAGCACTGTTTTTCAATTTGCCCGACTGTTTCACACTAAAATAAAAGATATACTTTTAAAAGATATACTTTTAAAAGATATACTTTTAAAAGATATACTATTAAATGGAACATTTTTTAAATACAGACATATGCATTCAACTGAATATTACGTACTATTCCGTAAAACGATCCATGGATATTTGAAAGTCTCTCCTGTGTACAGCTCGTAATAGAACGTGCAAAGGATCAAAAAGCTCGTCCCACACGCGAGGCTTCGGTCCGTACATACCTTGCTGCATATTGCCGCTCGCTTCGAGATTTGGAGCTCTATATTGCGCTACCTGTAAACACGTCGCAAAACGATGCAAATGATAATTAAAATCGTCATTTAAAGTTAAAATGTAAAGTTAGGAAAAATTTATTATTTATTATCAATTATATTATAAATTCTATTATCTATTATCAGATTTAATATTTGAAAATGAACAATTGATGAAGAATTGTGACAGATAAAACATGATCTATCGACAAACTTACATCAGCCAGAACAGATTCAAAGTCTCTGTTCTGAGTGGTCCCACAACGTTCCGGCATCAGTTCCATTAATTGGCTGTGCGTTTTATCACCCATACACAACAAAGTGACCATTTCAAGACGGGACATCTCAGGATCCGATAAACCTAGAACGAAAAAAAATGCAAACGATTTAATAAGGGAGTACATCGCTTTAATTATTTTTCTATTAAGATGTTATATAAGACAATGTATTAAATAATTTAAAAATGTTTAATTAAAATTAAAATATTTAATTAAAATCGTTAGACCCTCACCAAGATTTGTTCTCACGTTGACCAATGTAGCCAAAAACGTTAGGCAGCTCTCTAACATCGGCGTATCGTGTTCACCTTCGAGATACTCATTTTGCGGAGCACGATATAGACATAAACTCATCCATTCCTTTACGTGAAATCTGTATAGATTTTATTTTAATATATTAAATGCTAATGTATACATTTTTTTAAATATATAAATTTATTTATGTAATTTAAAAATTCACAATGATTGAAATATATTCTACTTTATAAAAAAAATCATGAATTAGAAATAAAAAAATATATAATTTTATTTAATTATGTGTTAAGATTCGATATCAAAGTAAAAGAAACAAGGATGAAACAAGGACATTACTTTTCGATGATGGTTTTCAGAAAGACATCCGGCAGTAATTTCGTGGCGCAAATTTGCAACAGATACAGATCTGCATCTACCATGGAGTTGCAGAAATTGCATTGTATGTAAGTCATAGCTTGACCCTTTATTTGCAATCCATTGCGAACCCATAATCCGTTTAAGATCTCATAGAAGGCCACCTGAAAACAAAAACAAAAAATATTTTATTATTTTATATATATAATTCAACATCTGTATTAAAAATATATTATCTGGGTATATAATATATTGCAAAATATAATATTGTGCACCGGATTATTTAGTAACCCAATAATTTTCTGTAAATTTTTTCTATAATAATATAATAATAATATAGTTTTGTGATATTATAATATAATATGATATTTTAATTATATAATGTGATTATGATATTATGATAATTATAAACATCCTGAGAATGTGCGAAAAAAGCTATGAATAAAATATTAATCTCCAATTTTTTTTTCGATATATTTTTTATGTCATATTATGTCGCAAAATACGTTTTTTGATGACATATACATATATCTAATTGCTTCATATCTCGCATAACATATAGAATCTAATCCAATAGCATACAAACTTATATAAGAGAGATACGAACATATTGCATAAGCATTTCATATAAACATACGCGACACTTTTAATAAAGCTGTCTTACAGCTAAGTGATTTTTATTCATCTTTGATATAGTAATTTGTAATATGTATGTTGATTCTTTAGATTTTTTAAAAATAATTATCACAGAAGATAAATTATATATAACATAATTTGATTTATATTTTTTCAGAAAAAATTAATCTTTTCACAGTCAAAATACAATTATTAATTTAAAAAAAAAAATTTATACACATTACATAAAATAAATAATTGAAATATTTATAATCCATCTTTTTAATCTCAATTAATTTCAATTAATCAAAACATTTTGCTTATAAATTTTAGATCATTATCTTAGTCTTTCATGAAATTTGTTTTGTATCACTTACTTGCATCTATCTTTTTTTAAAGGTACTACTTTTTAAACCAAATATTTAAAAGTTTGTATTACATATAATTTATTATACATCTATATTTATAAATTAATTATATATTTTTAAATATTCGATTATTAAAGAAATTAAAATTTTCCAAAATCCTTTTCGTCTAAGGCTACTTCGGAGCGCATCGCATTCAATCTAGATGTCCCTTAGATTTTTCTACATTTTCGATGGCAGCTCTTCGTCATTAGGTCGTTAGGTTTCGTCTTTCTCGACATATATTATATTTCTGCTTTAAAGTGAAATGAACACGCAATGCATACACATATTCGCAAGAGAGGGAAGAAAGAGGTACAGCAGGAGCGTAACTAAAACGAACAAACTCATTCCATTCACATCCCACAGCAGCGGGTGTGGATATCCCCTACCATCTACCATCCGTCCGTTGCCACTCTCATTGTTGGTCTGGTAACGGTCGTCGTCATCCAGTCCCGGTGTGTTAGCGTCACCAGCAACAGTATAGTTCCCCGGACATCTTGGATCTTCAAATTTCGTCGCATGTTCCTCCCGAAATGGCCAAATTTCGAACCGTGACGCTGATCCTCGTACTGACCCTCGTACAGACGAACGTCAGCTACGGCTTCGACGTCAGCCTGAATGACGCGCTGGATCTCATCAGACTCGGTCGTGAGACCGTAGTCGAAATACTAGAGTCCTGGGAGATGATCCGTCCGCATGGTAGACAGGGAGAGGAGTCAGAGAGCGATCTATTATTCGTGAAGAGGATGGAGAAAGAGCTTCGTCAACGCATCGATCGGGTATCCAAGAAGATCGACGACTATCAGGAACGGATGGAGACCAAGACCGACTTGATCTTAACGCAGCTGCTGATCCAATTGCCGATGCAACGCAGACTCGATGACAGTTTGAGAGAGCTGGATCATTTTGTCGGCCAAGTGGACGGACTATACAACATATTCGAGATGTATGCGGAGAATCCGGACAGATATGAAAGGTACACGATGGTACAGTTCGCGAAATCCTGCGTTTCGCCGAGATTAGGGGAACTTCCAGACGTTCTCAAGTCAATAAACAGGCTGATGGTGCCATCCGAACATCAGGTGTACAACAGAAGCATCCTCGTGCTCCTGGCTCATCAGATGCAGGTAGGTCTTATTGTTAGCGATGCTGCAGTTTGTGAAGATATAATTGAAAAAATGTAGATGAATTTTTAGATTGATATTAGACTTGGAGAATAAATATAAATAATTCCCAATCCTTCCTTCTCAGAAAGAATTATAATGTGACATCAATTTATTTTTTTTAGAGATTTCTTTAACAGTACAACATATCAAAAGATTTAATTAAATAATATATTAAATAATATATACAAATATATACAATGTCAAACAAAATCACTTGCTATAGGAGAAAGTTTCTAAGATTTTATTGACTTGCTGTCATACTTTCTTGAAAGCTATAGTTCATTGCGTTATACCTATTACATTTAAATATCCTTGAACTATAAAAAAGATAAAAATCCTTTCAACTGTGAGGAATGCATCGTAACGCATAAATTTAACGAAATGTAAGAAAGAATCATTATATTCATTAAACAGGTGCAAAATATTTTTCGCTTTACCCACTTTATGAATATTGTTAATTCTATTTATTATTTTATTATTTGCTTTTATTGCATGCATACACTACCGCTCAAAAGTATTTGCCCACCCTTAATTTAAGAGAAAATTCGAAAACTAAATTGTGTCTATTGCCTTTCGTTCTCAATAGTTATATTATAAATATCACTGCATGTTTACTAACATATACAAAGCTATGAAGTCAAATAAGGTATTTATGACTCTTTTCTTAGAATACTTTTCATAGAGTACTTTTAAGTTTTTACTACAGAGACGTATGTTTCATGAAATTTTGTTTATTTGATATTTTAGAATATAGATTTGCATCAATTACATCATCTTTCAACGCATATTTTGTAAAAATAATTTTCTGTTTTTTTTCCTTTCACGTAATATTAAAATGATCAAAAAAAGGAATTATCTGAAGAGAAGAGATACATAATTGTCGGATTTCAGAAGGCCGGAAAGAGTAATAGATAAATTTTATTTATTTATAGTCATTTAAACACAATTTACCTAGGTGGGCAAATACTTTTACGGTATTGCATGCGTTTATTACTTATATTGTATAAAAAAATCTATCCCTTATTTCTCTGAATTGATTATTGTCTATTTTATTACACTTATCTTCTATTCTTTTATTCTCTGTTATCTTATCTTTATCATTTCGATTTATTATTTACCGCCGTTATCACAAGATTTAGTAACAAAGGGTAATGTGATATGATAATTATATATGCGTAGGCATGTGAAAAAAACTCATTCGTAGAGAATGTCCAAAGAGTGCATGATAAAGCAGGAAGGGATTGATATCAGCATTGTTTTCGGCTTATGCACCATCTGCATAAACATGTGTCGGTTTAGAGAGAAATCGTATCATTATATAGAAATTAGTCATCTGGCAATGTTATGAGTAATCGTGTCTAAACGAGTAAGCAAAATCGACATTCCTGGTTGGAATCTATAATATGTTTCAGGCAACAGCGCAAAAGCACAAAAATAATATGTTGAATGATACGTTGAATTGCGACGAGCAATAAGCACTTCGTGTTATGAATGAGTGTCGTGGTCCGATAACACATCGTAACAGGAACCCCATTGTATCTATTAAGTACGAGCGGGTATTAGGTACCGAGAAGTGGTATCGCACTTTGGATCAAGTGATCGCATTGAGGCCTCGGCATGTTGCAATTTTTCACTCGCAATTTTATTCACAAAAAGAGAAAAAACGGATGGCTCACGTTGCCGGAAGTCTGTCATTTTTGTCGACATTCTTTCCGGGTACGTGAAAAATAACACGAATCAGCGCAAATCGTTCGATTATAAGGTCGTCCCGAGTTAATTGACATAAGAATGTATACGAATTTTAGCATAGAACTTATTTCCAAATCGTCTTTAATTCGTGTTAAAAAATATAGAGATTGCAGCTTAAAATATAGCTGAAAAAAATATAGAGATTACAATCTTAATTGCATAATAATTATATAAAATCATCTGCAATTTCTCACAACATATAATTTTTATCTTTAAGAATATAGGATTAACACGGTGCTCTAATCTGAAATTAAGTTTTCTTAAATGGAAATGAGACATCAATAATTTCGAGTAATCAGCAATTGAAAGTAAATAATTTTCGCAAACTAAGCTTCAGAAGAATAATTAGTCAGCAAACTTGGCTATCATCAAGGATTCATTTTAACGCGAGGGATTTCAATTACAAAAATATATAAAAATTACAAAGAATTGCGACGTGTGAATTATATATAATTAAATAATAACTTCTCCAATGCACAATATATTTATGCTAACTCTTTGTATAAAATCTAATTTTCTTCTTATATAAATTTCCAATATGTTTCTATACACGAGACCTTTTCTTTAATCGTCCATATAACATCCGTGATATTTTTCGCATAATAAATATTATATCATCTAAATACGAGAATTGACTGCTCTCATAATTTCCGTTAAAAGTAATTTTCATGCAAATATCGTTCGCATGCACTCTCTCGTGGATGCGAGTACGTCGAGGCAAGAGAAGGGGACACTAAAAGATGGGGAGAACCGGAGGACCCCGTGGGGGCCCTGGAGCTGAGCAAGAAGACATTGACGCATAACGTAAAACTCAGTCGAGTGCGGTCGGTCGATTGGTGAACGTGAGTGTTCGGCGACCTGTATTAGTTTGTGCATTAATTCCTGCAACGCGCGAACTGCATTCTCGAAACCCAATATAGCTGGCGGGGACCCGTGTCCCGCATTTCGTGGGCCCGTGAGAAACGTGGCGGAAAGGTGCTTCATCCACCAATTTATTGGCAAAACTTGGTCCCCTTTCAAAGAACTTTCAAATTGTATTCTCCAATGATCGTAAACGACCATATACGAAGAACGCGTTAAATTAAACGTCGAGAGAAGTGAATTATGTAATTATGTAGTCGTTTCAATAGCACACGGTGTTGGGAAATTAATTGTAAAATTCTAAAATGTCGGGAAAATATTTAAAAAATGTGTAAAATATTGTGTGAAATCCTTGAAATAATTTTTGGAGCTTTTCCATGGTACTTTGATAATATTAAAATATATAATTAAAAGTCGTTTGAAAATTAGAATGTCCTTCAATTTTAAAGTCTTCGTAATTTTTGTTGTGTCTGAGCATCTTTTAAGCTTTCTTTTTATTCGTTTTATTTGACCATTACTAAATCCACTGGTCATTGATTGATAACAAGACAGGCAATTATGTTTGTGTGTGTGTTATAAAAGATAATAATTATTTATGTTGCTCTTGAATATGAAACATTGAAGTGAATGTCGGATAATTAATCACTGAAATGAAATGGTCGACTGATCCAGATTTAAGGAAATAATTTTCATTCTCGCAACTTTCGTTTTGTTTCACAAGCGGCTGAAATTTTTCGTATTTTTAAAGAATTATTCGTGAAATTTTTATTTTAAAACCTATGAGATCTAATCTCCTCATCATTTATTATCAGAAACAACAGACGTGAAAAATATTGACATAAGAATAAGACCAAAGATACTCCGTCTTTTGTTGGTGCCAAAAGTCAATTTTACTTACGTTTATGTAAAAATATATTAAACAAGTGTTGTTAAAATGCTTATTAGAAATGGAATATATTTAATACTTTCTGCAAGTGTGTGAAAAAAATCTATTTTCTCAATTCTAAGATTAATCTCTGTCATTTTTTAAATTTATTATTCCGAGTCTTCTATTTTTAATACATAATACTTTGTATATAATATAAAATATTTCATACAAAATATTATACAAAAAAATTGAGAAAACAGATTTGTTTTAATCTTTCAAATCTTTAATGCTAAAAATAAATTAATATGATATGCTGATTTATACGTTTTATATAATCGTCATCTGATATGACGATGAGTTTCATAGTTCTTTGAAGAGCTTACAGTTGACCGGAAGTTACGAGGAATGAAAAGAGAAGATGGAAAATAAGAAGGAAAGAAAAATATTCGTGAAATATTCCACGATGTTTCTGCGGTTAACACGAGTGGTTATTTAATCCAAGCCACTCGTCGTTGGAAAACAGTGTCACCCAGTAGTTTCCTAGCTGTTCTAGATTATGCACTAACGCGTCATTAAAAGCCTCCTCCCTCTCTTTTATGTCATGACCCCGCGACGACCGTGATCATACACACATCTTCCCGTTTAATGACGAGATCATTGATGCGTAAAGGTCGTACGGTTTTATCTCACAAATCTAGAATTGGAATCATGTATTAAACACATAAATGATAAATAAATAAAAATATTAAATAATAATAATAATAATAATAATAATCATCATCAAAATAAAAAAGTGAATAATAATACCAATCTGCGATTTTCGTGTTCGTTTTTCACGTCTTTAGATACGAGACTTGTCGAGAAGGTAAACAGAGAAAGAAACCGACATTCTGTTAAGTGAATTATAAACGCGTGAGTCAGCGTCGAAGGTCTGACTCCGAGAGAAGAAGAGGAAGAATGAAATACCTCACGTACTTGCTGACACTGGGAGCGTTGGCTACGACAGCCTTCGCCGCGATCAAGAATGACGCGTCGACGATCGACGTACTCAGACAGAATCTATTGTATCTGGAGAAGGAGCTGAAGGCAGACCTGGCCAACAATCGTAAATGGAGCAACGTCGAGGAGCGAGAGAAGTATTTGCATCTGATCGAGGCGTACAAGGAATTCGGCAACCTTGTGGACGAGCAGTTTCCCCTGAATCGACGGGATTACCTGAACTCCCTGGACTCTCTGTGGCTCTGGGCCCGGGCCCAGAACGAGCTCAAAGGCATCAATGGCTTGTACGGGGTGTTCAGACAGATGCAACGCGAGATCGTCGACCTGAATGCGCCGGTCAATGTTAAACAGCTGGCGAATTTCGCTGAGACGATCCTGCGGGATCCGAACGCCGCGATTCCAAGAGCGCTCGATCGCATCGCGAATCTCATCGTCAACGAAAAATTGTTCATCGCGGCCTTTCAGGTATACCTATAGCCGAAATTGCTGCATCCCCCTAAGAGATTCTGCGCAAACAAAATTTTTCATAAGGAAGATATTCTTCGAGATACCGTAGTTTTCTCGAATAAACTAGGAAAAAGTAAATGTTGTTCAGCACAAGTGGATATGTCGATGATTTATATATATATATATATATATATATATATATATATATATTTTATAATAAATACTCTAGCACGGTTTCAATTATTTTTAAATAGAATTTTGTATATAGATCAAGAAAGTTTATAAAAGCAAATCTGCTGAGGACTAAATATTACAGATTGATACGTTTATTCCTAATCACAAATAATTTTATATATTAATTTTTATAAATATTATATTTTTAACACGCAGAGAGAGTTTTCTCCTAGAATTTACCCTGAAAATCATGGTAATGAAGAATTTTATGAGTTTTTCTGATTAAAATATTTACCATAATCAAAAATATTAATATGTACATAGTAAAATTAATCGAACATATTTTATATCTTATTGTTATAAATATTAATTAGAGAAACTCTTCCAATATCGCATTATCATGATTTTCAAGGTAAATTCTAAGAGAAAATTCTCTCTGTGTATTAATTATATTTTTTGAATGCCTCAATTTGCATCAACATGTTTGTTTACGTCTCCGAAAGATCTATAAAGTATTTTTGTACATGCAGGAAGCATCGCACCAAATGTGTAATGAGATGCAATCGCCGCAGCAACTGCTGTACAATTTGTACAGTACCGTGGCGTTGACGGAGATCAAGGGTTACACTATGATTCAATTCTCCTATATGCTACTTCGTCTGTACAACGAAGGTACTTGGCACCGACGATTACGTTTAAATATACGTTCCATGTATATGTAGCATTTTTGACATCACATAATCCACTGTACAATTAAGACCAATTTTCGCGAGCTCGTGATCCACTTGAAACAAATAGATGTTTCAAATTCAAAGCTAGAAGAAAGCTAAATGTAAAATGGAAGATTAAAAATTCAATAACACAATTCTACAAAATAATTTATAAAAATAAGCAAAATTTTGATTTTTGGATCATGCGAACCAAAAAATGCTAGTAGGATTTCAATAAGTGAACTATTATATTTAATCCCCTGAATTTAATACAGGTAATAACTTTAGCGAAGAGATTCAGACACTAAAGCAGCAATATGCGATCAGAACGTCCGAGACATTAAGAGCTGTAAAAACCGCAATGGCTTTTGCTCCGAGAGGTCTTTGGAGATGTGATCCAAGTATACATAAATTAGGTAAAGCTTCCCACAAATAGGATAATCATTTAAAAAAGATTTATATCTTTCAATTGTGCAATTGCAATATAATTTATAATTTATATACGCGATGTCGACTTGTTTAGATGAAACTTATACTGAATTGAAGCAGCTGTTTCAAGGGTACATCGTGAACGAGGTAGATTTGAATAGCGAAAACACGTGCAAGGAAAACTGTGCTTATTATGCGTATACCAAGGTGTATAGTTGCTATAAGGATCAGTTTTGTGGAAGACAACGTCGATGTAATGGCAAGATATTGCATTGCGAGTACATCGATTCCGATATGTGGATCTGTCCGTCAGTAAGTATTTTTAGTTTCAAGATATACATGATTTCCTAATTTATAAATTATAAAAGCAGAGAGAAGTTTGATTCAAATTGAAAATATTTATATTATACACAGAGAGAATTTTCTCTTAGAATTTACCCTGAAAATCGTGGTAATCATGGGATGATTCATATTAATATTCTATCCAATATCATGATTTTCAAGATAAATTTTAAGAGAAAATTCTTCCCGTATATAATAAGAAAAAAATAGCTAATTATAATTTAAGAATAATTTAAAAATCAACAAATTATATATAATAGAATAGGAAAATTAAAATATCGAATAATTATCTTGAAAAAATAATATAGTCGAATTAAAAAGAGAAATGTTCTGTGGAGCCTTCAAGTTCAGTCTTCATAATCTATCTTATATTTAAAAAGAAATACGTGATATATATATATATATATATATATATATATATATATATATATATATAATGCTAATATATATAAAAAACAATATTTCGATTATTAATTCGAATATTCGATTAATTTAGGATAAAAACAGCAACAGACGATACGAATATATTGAATATGAGAATGGTCTCGTTTACGGGAACAAAAATACGTGTCGCAGAGGTACAACCAAGGTCGACAGCTGGTGGCGATGGCTCTTTTGGCATTGCAGTTATTGCTTTTGCTATTGCGACGATCACAATGCGAGCTCCGATCGTTATTTCAGTCTCCGAAACGTGATGTCTGATATCTCGAATAATAGGTAAGAATCGTGTAGCCGATTCGATAAAGAAATCGATAGAATACAATTTGATGAAATATTAAGTTAAAAATATAACATCTACTCATTGACAGAGTCATAACGGGAATAAGATTGAAGAAGATAAACCAGATTATTCATATACAAATCCAAGAAGGTCAGTTGCTTCCACGTGGAGCAATTAATTCGTCCACGACCGAGTGGCAACAGATTGATGCCTTTTCAATTATGGATTCTAATGTTAAAAGTGGTATTGATTACCACAAACTGGTATGGGAAAAACGCGCTTTAGACCTTGACGATTTGCAATCAGCGCAAGATCATCTCCTGACAGGTAATCTAAAAAATCGATTTTAATTAACGTTTAAATTTTTTATATAAATCGGCCTGTATTTCTCAATATAAAATGTGATACGATTAATATGAAATGTATCGTTCGTAAAAATATAACTATTGTATATTAAATATACTGTATATACAATATAAAATTTGATTTAGGCGTTCGATTCCGAATGGTTGGAAGCCGATTAAACTTGGAAATAAAGGTGACTCCGTTCAATTTCACGTCCGGATTATTAATTCAACCTGAGGAAAAGAGCTTCTGGTACAGTAACGACATTACTGAAAGGTATAAAAGTACCTCCTTTCTTATTTATAATGCAAATTTTAGTAATATATTTATAAATGTTTGCCTTATTAATTAATTTTTCTATCATCCATTTAATTTTTCATGATAATTTCAATACGCTTTTGCACTTTCAGAACCGAGCTGAAGCTTATCGATCCCGACATACCGATTCGCGATCCCGTGCAAAATGTACCGGATTCCGAGGTGAATCAATACCTAAACTTCGCACCGAGTGATCGACGAAAGGACGCGGCTCAGAGCACGGTTCCCTTCCTCGATATTCAACCAATCATACCAAATCCACCGGTACCGATCGCGGGCGCTGGAATCTTTCACAAGGGTCGTAAGGGTTCTGGCGGATTCGCCGCCCTGAAACTGATCACCTACGATTTCGCGCCGCATCTACAAGTCGACTTGCCACCAGCACCACCAGTTCTCGAGACTCCGAACGAGATAACAGCCGTGTAGAGTCTTTTTTTAATCGAAATAACACGATTTAAAAACCTGTGATTTATATATATACATATAAATATACCTATATATATATAAATGCACCAAGAACCTCAATATAGGTATCAAGGTGAACGTGAAGGCACAACGTGTCGAATCGTTGTGTATAAAGTAATAAAGATGAAAAGTTTTTAGTTTTATGAGAAAAATGAATTTTTTTTAAGTACACATAATGAAGAAAAATCAGTATTGTCATACAAAATTTAACATTCGAAATATAGGTAAAAATATTTCTACTTTTCAAACTTCCTCCACTTTTGTAGATTTTCAATATTTCGAATAAAAATGCGATTATGAAAATGGCTTCTCAGTTTAAGAAATATAGAAGACATGTTATTGATTATTGTATCATGTACATCTTGTTTCTATGGAAATCTAATCAAGAATTAAGATCCTTGTTATAAAGCTAATATTTCATGCAATTAATTACACATTTAAGTTTTCCCTGCTAATCACATTAAGTAATTACATTTAAATAAATTTCCTTTCTCTCATTAATTTCGTTATACTAATTATTAATACTCATAATAAATTAATCGTGCTTTTATTAGTGCATGTCTAATCAGCAATTGAATAACAATTTGTATCATCAATTTTAAAATCGTTAGCTTTATTCAAAGATTAAATAGTCGATTTATAGCAAAGGACTAAAGTCCATAATTTTTTAAAGATTTTTTGAATTAATTAAAATTTAAAGTAATCAAAGAATTCATAAATCATCAATTAAAATTATAAATATAAAACTTTAATAAAGCTTTAAAATTAATGTATAAACATAAAAAATGATTAAACTTTCTGGATCTATAAATTAATGAGTTTTATATTGATAAGTGTGAAATATAATTATAGTTTGATATAAATTTTAACTTGTCAGCAAATATAATTAGGTTGTTTCGATATTTACTTCTCGTTAATATTAGCAATATTTTTACGATTTGCAATACTTTATAAATCTCATGAGTAAATTTAGAAATATGTAGATAAGTATTTACGACAAATTATTGCCATTTTCTTTGCATACTAGATTTGTGTTACCATTAAAATGTGTTTCAGAATTAAGATTCAAGATTATAACATAAGAAATTATTTCATTTTAGATTTAAGATTAGTATTAAAATATCATATAATCATTTTTTTATTACAATTTTATGTAAAATGTTTTGTAAACTGTCTCCCAGATTTAGTTTATAATTTTGTAGCAAATATTATTTAGAATTATTTTGTAGTTGACTTTGTAATATTTTTATATTATACATGATGAATTTTCTCTTATTTTTCCTTTTGTGTAACTACATATGCACACACTCAAAATAAATTGCCATAATGATAAAAATCAAATTTGCATATATGTTAAATTTCTGCGAATAATATATACTGTAGGCATGTAAAAATTGTTAATTGAAAACAAATTCCTCAACTTATTCTTTGCAGATTTTTAAACATTTTGATCATTTTTTTCATTAATCTAATCAAACAAAATATTTAATCAAATAATTCATTTATTTCAAATCTCTAATTTTAAGTTGGATTAAAGAGTTAATTTTATACAAATTACAATGTCAACCATATATCGTGGAAAAACGCGAAGAATCCATAGAAGCTAAAAGAGAAGTGAAAAAGTACTCACCTGTACTCGTAGCGGATGCATCATAAGGAGGTGCAGCATGTCCGTGGGTGGTAATAATTCACGTAGAGTCGCTCCTTGTTGTCTGATCGCTTGACACATAAACACGGCGAGATATCGATGAAGCGGCAGATGAAACGACACTTGCAAACTATCACTCTAAAAAAAGTGAAAAAGAACATGTATAAGTAATTTTCCAACATATATAACATATACACAGAGCACGAGCAAGAATTTACACTCACCACATTAGGATGAGTGTAGTTTACGGCATCTAGCCAATCTTGCAAAGCTGTGAGGCAGAAGCTAAGCACTCGTCGACTTAATGTCGCACTTTCGGGTCCCCGAAGATGCGACACTAGGGCCCACATTGGATACGCACTAGCCTCTAGTTCGGCACTGAATGCCGCATAATAAGTATTAGGTTCGAATTCGACATGCTGACTTAATTCCCTCTGGTTAACGTTCATGCCTTGAAACATGGATAGAAAGTCAAACCACATTTCCAAGAGAGTATTATCGCTCATGAACCTGACTGCGACTGGTTTATGTGAGAGTACATTATTTAAATCGGATACCAATGGCCAGTAACAATGTTCCTTCATTACTTGGCGTCCACAGTCCACGACATAATGGAAATTTTTATCCGGATCTGAAATAAATCTTTCTATTAATTTTCGGTTTCGATTCTGACTAAAGCGGGGAGCACACACTTTTGCATAGGCGCATAAGCGTAAACATGAGAATCTTGATTGGTTTATAAACGTATGCATAAGAAATTCAACCAATCGAATTTCTTATGCATATGCTTATGCGCAAGAGTGTGTGCTCCCCGCTTTATTCTGATTTTAAAACTCCATAATCTATACATACCATGCAAAGTGTTTTGAATTAATATTTTGCTCATCATGTATTTCAAACTGATAACCATAACGTGTAACAATTTCAACTGATCAACCATCCTTAACGCTAGCTTCTCGTTACTAAATAGCTGAAAAATTTTACAAGAATTAAAAATTAATACGTTTTATATATATAAAGAAATAAATGTATACATAGATGAAAATTTTATTCTCATATTATGTGCAAAATTAGAATAAATATCTATATTTTCTCTTCGTTGTATGTTCTAATACTATTTGTTGGAAAATGAAAAATTTTTAATGTATAATGAATAAAAGTATAATAGTATAATTTGTATTTCGAGTTATATATAATCGTTTTTTATCCACGATATTCCTTATATATATATATATATATATATATATATATATATATATATATATATATATATATAATTCATCATGGATTACTAATAAGCAATCTGTCATATTGTCTGTTATCTAAATTTAATAAGATAAAATTACCTGTACGCTAACATGCACTACTCTATTGCTCAACGTATCAGGATCCGTTGAACGTTCGAGCATCATAGAGATTCTACTATAGTGCAACACAAAGGCGCGGGTTAAAGCTTCCTTGTAATCAGGATCCGGCAACATGTTCAATAGTAAACAGACCAATTTTTGTGGAAACTCATAAGCAACGGTCCAGAACATCAGTTCCTCCAAGAAGGTGGTGTGCTCTAAATGTTCTTGAAGCGACACGCATTCTGAAATGAAACAAACCGCGTCAATTAATGTCATTATGGCTGGTATTCATAGTTCAATCTTATATTTAAGATCGTCTTAAGTCTGGTCGGAGGTTGACTTAAGATCCCATTCAACCAATCAAATGACTGCGTAGCATTTCAAGCTTGGACTTAAAACAATCTTAAATGTAAGATCGGATTATGACGCGTATACAAATTATTTCGTGCTTCAATTGTATTAGAAATTATTATTGAAGCTATTGAAATTTACACGAAATAAAATATCCATAATATGAATTCGTATCGCAATATCGATTACATTGTTTACCTTTATATTCATCGGGTGGTTCTGGATTCGGTAACGATTTTACGGCATGCTGATATATTTTATTGCTATCTTGACAATAGCTATCGTACTCGGATTGTCCCGTTAAGACCGAAGGATCCATAAGGCCTCGGTACTTTTGCGGATTCGTGAGAGCTGATGTCATAACGTGTCTCATTAATGCGCCCATGTTGTTCAAATCGAGCAACATGGTCAAATATGAATCTGCCTCATGTATAGCACCTTTATAATCTGGCACACCCATTTTACTAAAATGCATAAAAGAATAATAAGTTATTAATATTTTTACTAACATACATTATTGAGATTTTGTTTTAATATTATTCTTTTAATTGAAAATTACATATGTATAAAATAATTTAAAAATAATTTCAAAAGCTTACAAGTGTATTTTAAATCTCAAAATTAGAAAAGTCCTAATAAGATCAGAAAACATTTTCTATTTAAAGTGTAGCTTCTTTAAGTAATATGACGTATGAGTTATGTAATTTTCGAAAATATATATATATATAAGTATCAATTTATATTAGATAAGAACGTTAAACAATAGATAAACTTTCTTTACATACTAATTGTATATAGGTTCTGTAAAATATAGCAAAAAAACTTTCTACTACAAACTCATCATTCAAAAGATTAATAAAAATTTTCTGTTGAAAGGATAATGTCTAACTTACCAATTCTCACGTAAATGTTGTATAAGTCGAAGAATAATTCTGGGCATCATTGCCTCGGCTACACACATCAGATCTGATGGTGCGACTGATTTATTTACAGCTGCCTTTGGCCCATGTCTATCACAAAATCTGTAATGCAAAAAACAAATTAGCAATAAAGAAAATATGTTAAGCAAATCTCAGCAAGGAAATCTGTGATAACTGGTCAAGATATTGCTGGTAAATTGAGTTATTCTATATAAGAAACAAAGTATCAATAAACATTTGAAAAAATTAAGATATACATGAAGATATACATATGCATATATACAAAGTCAAATTGCTCTTAGTAAATTCTACAAATTTCCATTACTTTGTAATATGTTTTCAATAATTATTTTACCCAGTCTCCTTCATCACAGACGTATCACCACAGTCACATGCACCACCTGCTTGACTGAGAAACATGTTGAAATCGTGACGATGATGATTTCCCTTTTTGAAGCACTCAGTGCACAGGGACATACAGGGAGATATGCCACATGTACGACAGCGATATGCTACAAAGTTTGGTGTCCACACCAGACCACAAGTAGTAGCATTGTCATAGGTACGTACTGAAAAAAAGCAAGAATTTGATTAGTAAATAAAACGAGTGTAACTTTCTTGTGTTTGTGTCTATAATAAATATCTTACTCCTATTCTAGAAAATAATTCTAGAATATATTCTATGATATTTTATAATAATGTAATTTGTGTTAGTAATGTTTAGTAATTTTTATTAATTTTATTAAAACATTCTAATATTTAAATATAAATGTTAAATATATGTAAAAATGAAAATAATTTGTTTCTGGTATATTTAAAGTTACAATTAAATTATTCTTAATAATATAAATGTAAAAATGCACTCTTATTATTTATGTAAGATATAAATTTATTATAAATTTTAGTTAACATTCAATTTTTGACTTTTTGAATCATGTTTGGTATCAATCTATTCAGTTTCATGAACAGAATGTACATATATAATATTTTTCTAGATTTAAGACTTGCATTACACAATGCAAAAAGTCAAAAAATGAATGTTGGCCAAAATTTGACCCCTTGATTTTTAACATTTGACTTTAATTGAGATAGCAATAATATATACCGTTAATTTTTTTATCTGGACAAATACCTTTCAAAATATATATATATATATATATTTTCCAAAACTGTTTTGATACTTTGTAAGTATAAGTAATGCTGTAGTTCTATATACTTTTGATGTGTATATACATCTTATATATATTTATATATATTTTATATTATTTTTATATAAATCTAAATAAATGTATATAAATCTATAATAAATATTTTTTTCAATAAAACTAGCTTTCTTAAAACTAGCCTTATGTAACATTTGGAACAAAACTACAATGTAATTTTTATAACACAAGTTAGGTTAAATTCGTCCGACTATAGATGTAACTCTATACTTGTCTTCTCATAACTATATGTTTATCTGAAAAATTTAGCATTGCCAAATACGCAAATTGTGTATATTTATATCTACACTTTTTTATAAAACCTGTAATATTTGTAAATAAATGTCAACTAAAATATTTATACTGTAATAAAAATATAATTAAAAGCAATTAATTCAATAACTCCTAATTCAATAGCAATTTATGATGACTCCTATTTTAATGTTTTCACAAGACATTATTTAAATTAAAAAAACAAAATTTGCTCATAAACTTTTGCATCTAAATGTTGCACATTTTATAATTTTTTAAATAAAATATCAAATAATTAACAACTAGATCACAACTGCAACTATAATCTAAATATTTAATGCATTAATAATTGTACTTATAAATTTTTGTAAATGTACATTTTTACAATTTTTATGATTATGATAAATATATATCTAATATAAATTTTTAATGATTAATACTGAAAATATTGCATAATGATAAACTGCTATTTATTTACAAAAATAATTTTGTTGTCTTGTGAACTTTACACTGTGATATTACTTCAATTCTAATACAAGAAGTTAAATATGTTAATAAAAGATAAACTCTTCATAAGTTGATAGAGTTTCATGTGTACATAAAATGTTAATAACTTGTTACAAGCTACATGTTTACAACTAAGTGTTTAATATAAAAATAATTTTCCATATTTCATCGCATCGCTGAATAATTAAAAGAATAAATAAAAAAAAAGAAAAATAACAACGATGAATAGGAATTTTTTTACAAAGAGCTGCATAATTTTTTTACGTACTTCGAGCCAGAAAGTGAAGAATTTTGCTGCGTAAACTGTTTAGACAATAAATCTGGGTGACAATTGAACAATTGAACGGTACCTTTCTATAAAATTCTATTAATCTCATTGAGATAAGACCATAATCGCGGTATATCCACCTGTACTGGCGAATTCGTCGGGCGTGCGGCCACCGGCCATCAGCCACTTGCACCAGTCGATGGTCTCCCAATCGTCGATGGGCTTGCTGGGGTTCAGCAGGACGTCCAGCAGCTCGTTGAGATACTGCGGGCAAACGCCAGTGTCCCGACCTGTTGTCAGACTGATGTAAGCGGCTGCCCCACGTTTGCCCTTGCCCATCAGCACCTGAACGTCGGGCGACGTGCTGCTGGAGGTCGACGCCATCCTGAGCCTGGTCGTCTACCTTTAGAAAAGAACGTCGTCGTACTCGTCCGCAAGTATCCTCGCGTTTTATTTATCCTCGGAGCAGGATCTGAGGACCAAACATTCGACTGACGGCCCCATCATCAGCAGAAGGTCGCGTGTCGTCCCTTCGACCCGGGAAACGTCGTCGTCGTCGTCGTCGTCGTCGTCGTTCTTGTCGCGACCACCGCGATTGACAGCATGACGACTTCGATGATTCCGGAGTCGTGGCCCTCCGTTAACGTCACGGCGCCACGGTGTATGCAGCGACCGATGGAAGATGAACGACCCGTCCCTCTCTGGGTCTCTCGACGACGGAGTCTTCCCCGAGCACCGGTCCGCGACGAGGATACCGTACGGACTGATCGCGGCCCCGCAGGAGGCGGACCCTACGACGACGACACAGGATACGCGACACGGTAGAGAAACAGCACAAGTCACGGTATGGATATAAGGCGAGGATACGGCGTGACGCGAGATCGGGCTTAGATTTGACAGGTCGTCGATCGACGAACCGATCGATGGAGAGATGGAGGAAATGGGCTACCAAGACGACTAATACGGGACCAAGTCTCGTCGAAGTCGAATCCCACTGGCGCGTCCACTTGCTGCTCGCTCGGCGATCTGACTGAACGAGCTTCTTTATCGACGTGGTGAAGTGCATACATATACGTAAGTGGAGTGAACGTGCTCCAAAACGCGAAGTGCGTTCCTTTTCAAGGCGCGATTCGTGAGAATTCACCTTGCGCTTAATAGCCAATAGGAGAGCGCGCTTTCTAGTGACTTCGGGCGAAGCTATTTTTGTCCCTAGGAATGTAGACGAGCCTTTAAGAAATCAATTAGGATACATCTAATATTCGGAGATTGAATAAATAATTTCACTTATTTTCGATTTATAAAGAAAAGCAAAATATTTTCGAAAAGTTTGTGTATCCTTGAAATTCGTCGTTTTTAGCTCAAAATAGTAAACAGAAACAGAGTCTACCAATTATTTTTTTTTTATAAATCTAACCTTGATTTGCTACAGGATGGTATAAGAAAAGTCATTTGAATATATTATATTTGTGATGGCAGACCGTTATGTTGTGGACATATTTGAAATCCGGAATAGTATATAGAATCGCAGTGATTGCAGTTGTTTTGATTTACGACATCGTTTGTTGCAAGATATATTGTTGATTCAAATAGCACACATTAATAAATGAACATGTGAAAATACAGATAACCGAACTAGGAGGAAGAATATGATGTCTCAACACGAAGTTGCAAAGAATTCATGTTAATGTGACCGAATAATCATTTTTATAACAATATATGAATTAAAAGGACAATTTGTTAATGTAATCTTATTCATTCTTGAAAGAATAGAAATTTCCACAAAATACTCTACGAAATCAATTCTATGTGCTCGGTAAGCATTGTTTCATTAGAAAAAAATGTGTTTAAGAAAGTTCAGTTTGTATGGATTATTATGAAATTTACTTTTATAGTTTTATCTCTTTTATATTTATCTCATTTTGCAGAAAATAAATTTTATAGAGAATTTGATTTAATATTTTATATGTTTTATATTTTTATACATTTAGAATTTATAGAATGATACTGAATGTAAATAGTATATTTTAAATTTAAAGCGCTATGAAAAGAATTTCGTTTTTGCATATTTATAACTCTTATTAAAATGAGACTTATATATTATAAGTTTGTATTTTTATTTTACAGTTTGGAATAAAAATGTATCGACTACAAGACAGTGAACATTCTGATTATTCCACATTGCATCAATCTGAGATGTCAGGTTAGTCAATGGTTCATCTCTTGTGTATATTTTTATATATATAATAATTGTTAAGGTTGGGTCATTTAAAAATAAATATATAAATATATAGATTATATAAATAATGCTATATTATTAATCAACATATAATTTACGTGATAATCTTTAACATATATAAATTGTGCAAAAACTATTTAAATGTTTTGATGGATAATATTAATATTATTATAATATAAATATATATATGCTTTAATTCACTTGGATATCTGGAATGTTACATGGTATATCAAATAACATTTTGTATAACATGTAAAATTCTAGAAATTAAGTAATATCTTAATATTATAGTTTATTCTTTGTGTTATTTAAAACAAATTAAATAATTCTTTTTTATTTTAGTGAGAAAGAAACTTCAACCTGTAAAAATTGCAGAATTAATTGGATCATCTAAAAATTACAAAATGATCAAATAAGTAAGTCAATTTTTCATATAATATATATAATTTTATATATATAATTTATAATTTATATATATAAAAATTTTGAACATATAATATAATAATATAAATATTATATGCTACTTCAGAGTGTTATATTATTAACAAAGATTATATCAATGTATCACATTTGCAGATTCAACTGTGAAAATTATAAGTTTACCTGAAAAGCTTACTCCTTATTTGAAAAATGCATCGAGTAAAAAGAATAATGGTTTGTATATAGATATTTTTATTTTCTTTATCTATTAATGTGTATTATTTCTAATTGTTATATATATATAAATGTTTTTAAATATACATATATATATTTATTATTTTGCTTTAGAATATTATATTTGTTGTTTCCCATCTACATCAAAGCTCAGATAAATCTTACTTTTTTTTTTTTTTTTTTTTTTTTTAACATGGATGTTGAAGAAAGAAGTGAGATTTATCTGACTTTTATAGAAATAGAAAGCAACTATTACTAAGAATTAAAGGTTATAGCAATGAAATATAATTTTCAGATTCAACTGTTAAAATTAGTTTACCTGAAAAGCTCACTCCATATTTGAAAAGTGCGTCAAATAAAGAAAGAATGGTTAGTATATATAAATTTCTTTTCTTTATACATTTTATATGTATATATCTTATTATAGTTAGAATTACATTATATTCTTGTTTATATTTATTCAACTATATTTTGTTCTGTTTGCAGAGACAAACACACATGTGAAAGTATCTCGTGATAAGAGAAATGTGAGAAGAAATTTAAACTTTTCCAAAATACCATCTATTGTGGTTAACACTGAAACGGCTTCAACAAGCAAGAATAATTTAAATAGTAGTTTAAAAGAAGAAAACTTACATTTGTCTACAAGAAAAAGTTTCTTACTGCCACCAAATTCCATAAAAGATTTGTATGTTAAAAACAAGCAAAGAAAGTCTATATTACCTCAGTCATGCCTGTTAACAGCACATTCGGTGTGTAACAATAAGTATTCCAGAATATCCAAGATATCTAAAAGTTGTTCATCCATCGTGAGAGATACAAATGTGCAAATTGATTCATGTAAGAATTCTGTCGTACACGAAGGAGTTAAGCAAACTGTGATAAAACATTTATCATCGCAAACATTTTCTGTGAATGATCAGTTTGGGATAGATAGTTTACATTTAAATTGTACAGACATGAAAACAATACAACAGGAGAAAAAATTTCTGAGAATTTAATTAATGTTAAAGAAAATAAATGCTTGTCTGTGACAACAAGCAATTATGAAGAACATTTGCATCAATCCGCACAAAGTGTTCAAACGATAAATCAATCATGTTTGAAATTAAAACCTAGCTCTAATGAGCCTGATGAATGTGTAAATCTTAATAAAACAAAACTCACAGTTTTGGCATCTAAATTGAAAAATGATATTATCAGACTAGAGGAAGATATATACCGAATTTGAAATCAATATTTACTGATATTACAGATGTATTATCTATGTTAAATATAACAACAAAGGAAATCGAAAATAGTAATACTGATAAGAAGATTCTAAAGGAGATGATTGAAAATATAAATGATAATATAGAAATAATAAATGATGCAAACACAAAATCGTTATGTACGATTAGCAATAATATTCATACTGATGAAGACAGTTCTAATATTCCGGAAGAAGTTTATAAAACGCCTGATACTAATTTAATGAAACTTGGAAAACAAGATGGAAAGTACAATTCTGGAATTCAGTCACCATGTCAAATTGATCTTTCTTTCGAGAGTAATAAGGAAAATGATAGCTTTGTGAATTTAGAAAATAAGTTGGATATTACTAATATAAAGTCTAGCACAAAGATTATATCAGTTAAAAAATATACTCCTGTGTTGAATAAGTGCACTGACAAAAAAGTAGAGAGACCTTTGAGGGATACCTGGCTTTAAAATCACGTATGAGCTGTTTGCTAACACCTAATATTAAACGTTTTAGTTGTTCACAATCAAATAACGATGATTTGCATTCTGAATCTGGTGATGCAAAAGCTTGCTTGTCAGGTAAAATACTTGCAGAACTTTATAACTTATATGATGATTAGATACACAATTATGTATTATATCAGTCAATTGTCTTACTTCAGGATTATTTTTTAAAGACTAAATATTTTCTTTGTCGAATATTTTTGTGCAGAACAAAAATGTGTTTCTGTTTTTCTTTTGGTTATATTTTGTTTATAAAACTATGTAAAGAATTCTAACTGTAAATGAAAAATTGATAATGATTAAAATTTATATCAGTCAATTGTCTTACTTCAGGATTATTTTTTAAAGACTAAATATTTTCTTTGTCGAATATTTTTTGTGCAGAACAAAATGTGTTTTCTGTTTTTCTTTTGGTATATTTTTGTTTATAAAACTATGTAAAGAATTCGAACTGTAAATGAAAAATTGATAATGATTAAAATTTAAGGCTTATTATGGCTAATAATGAATTATACAGATCCATGTTTAACTTGTAAAGGCAATAAATAATATATATAATAATTATTTTAAAATTAAGAAGTGTATATATATACTGTATGTGTAAATGTGTGTGTGTCACATGCGTTATGCATAAATATTTTGTAACTTATATGAGAAGTATTTATCTATAACATTTTATAATAAATATGTAAAAAATAATTTATTATAGTTTTATTTCAGTATAATATAAAAATATCCAGAACAGATTATAAAAAAATCATGTGCGTTATGCATAAAATGTTTATAACTTATATGAAAGGTATTTATCTATAACATATTTATAAATAAATCTGTAAAAATAATTTATTAGTTTTATAAATTATTGTATTTTAGTATAATATAAAATATCCAGAACAGATTATATAAAAGAATGCTTATATACTACATAATAACGTGTATGTACATATTTATAAATTAAAGAAAATATCATGTGCGAGCAGTGATATGCACATGAATAAAACTTATGTGTCGTTTGATTAAAATCGCAATATACACATTTTATGTACAAATAGATTTCGCGCCATGTAATAGTATTTTTCTATTAAGATGGCAACACTGCGGAATTTCAACTAGGCGCATGCGTGAAAAAAACTCTAGCAATGCTGGTCCCTTGCTTCTTCTTTCTCTTTATGGGCGCCAATCGAACGTGTATATTCCGTGATAAACAAATTATAAATCGCAGGTAATTTCGCGATAAAACCCATCGGATTTTTATTAATACAGTGAAGGCTTCTTTAATCCGTTCGCGTATCCCAGTGATGATATTTCGCGATTTCGACGAAGTGTCCGCGAGATATTGAGATGCAAAGTGACCCGTGCGATCTGTCGCATCTGCCACGCAGTTGCTTTTCATTTAAATTCGATAAAGTTGTATTGTGTGGATACGAAAGCGCAATAATTAGGATTACGAAACTATCGATTATTTATATTGTCGTATACTTTATGCAATAATTAGTTCATAATCGTTTATTTATATTTTTTTATAGAGATCAGCTTAGATTAGGTTAGATTTTATTACAAGAAAAAAAATTAAAGGAATACACATTTTGCGAATAGAAATACAATAGTTTTTATTTATTTTAGAGTCATATTTTTCCATCAATTGATGTGCAGTAAAATAAATTTAATTGACTTAAATCTTTATGATAAAATCTTTGAAAAATTAGGATTTTTATAAGATAATTATAGTGGGATAATTTTGATATTAGTGCAAGTGTATATGTTTGATTGATACTTATCACATCACGTTTAATTTTCAGTCATGGTGCGTATGAACGTTCTCAGTGATGCTCTAAAGTCCATCAACAATGCCGAGAAACGTGGGAAGCGGCAGGTATTGTTGAGGCCCTGCTCCAAAGTGATTGTCAAATTCTTGACTGTCATGATGAAGCATGGTGAGTAAATCTAGTATAATGTTAAGTAGACATTTAGACTTATAAGCACTTGCATCTAGATTGAGTATATACATTAAATGTCGATGTGTAGCATTTAAAACAGTATACACATGTTGACACTTAGTGTATACATTTGATTTAGACAGAAGTGTCTACATTTATACCTAGCATAAAAAAATTTATAATATAACAACATCTTATTATACATATGATACATATACATATAATGTATAATTTCATACATATTTATCTATATATATTTTTCTTAAATGTACGAAAGGAAAAACTTATAACGAATTCGGTTGGATGCATTAGTGTGCACTGAGTGCACATAAAGGTTATTGCACACAATTTTACAATGACATAAATAATTAAAAAAGTAAAATAATTAATAGTAAGAGTTATTATATTATCATTATTCATATTGAACAACTATAATTGCTCTTACTATTAATTATTTTCCTTTTTAATTACTTTTGTCATTGTAAACTTGTGAGTGATAAACCTTTATATGCACTCAGTGCGCACTAGTGCATCCAATCGAATTCACTATTAAAATCACTTCAAATTAATATCTTTGTTGTATACAGGATACATAGGAGAGTTTGAATTGTGGATGACCACCGCAGTGGAAAAGTGGTAGTGAATCTTACTGGGAGATTAAATAAATGTGGTGTTATCTCTCCCAGATTTGATGTACCAATCAATGACATTGAGAAATGGACTAACAATCTTTTACCTTCTCGACAGTTTGGGTAAGTGTTTGTCTATCAAGAGATTTTACTTTATAAATGATGATAAAGATATATTTTTTTTTTATATTGCATACAATTCTATTGTTATTTATAAGTTCTTAGTTATTTATAACAAATTACTAAGATAATTATGCATAATAAAATAACAAATGTTAGTAATGAACAAAAAAATTGAAGACAGAAAGTTTTAATTAATTGCAAGACTATAAATACATATATTATTGTATTATATTATATATATATATATATATTGTATTTACATTTCAGATATGTCGTATTGACCACTAGTGGAGGAATCATGGATCATGAGGAAGCTAGAGGAACATCTTGGAGGGAAAATACTTGGATTCTTCTTTTAATTTTGTTTTTAAATAAAGATGTAAGAACAAAAACCTTATATTTTTAAATGACTTCTTTGAAACCAAATTTTTCATTGTTTCCATTTCAGAAATTTCCTATATGCTTATAAAGATTGGTTGATTGCTTGATTACAATGAATACTTTCAATTTTTGATAAAATTTTGATACAGTGTCAAAAATGCTTTTTTTCAAATGAAATTAAGCATAGTATAGATTCTTGACTATATTATAGACTATAGAAATAGTAGTAAGTAATTGAATATATCTGATTTTAAGTCTTTATATATCTAATAATCTAATGTACAAGAGAGAGGCTTTTGAAAATGTGTGCGCTTAAAAAAAAAATTACGCATTTTGAATATTTTTCTCGTGTTTGACTGAATTTTTTCATGTAAAATTATACAAAGCGCTTTTATAGATGATAGTATACGTATAGAGATAAAGTATATTCGTATGAGATCTATGGTTAGTTCGTGCTTACACACACCAGAGAGAAGATGAGAGTGGTCATCCCCTCGATTTAGCTGCAACCGGAATTCAAAGCGCCTCTATGTGCACAAAACGTGCACATTGAACTACGTAGCCATGTGCACGATGCTCCCGAGTGGTAACAGGCTATGTGCACGGTACGTGGTTCGATTCCGTGCTATGTGCACAGATGAGCGCCAGTAACACGTAGCTGTTAAAGGAGATGAGTTCGAGACCTCGCAGGGCCAATTTTTTTTTTTTTTTTTAGTACGACTATATTTGTCAATTTAATGAAATCCTTTTAATTATTGTGGAATAAAGAGATAAAATGCATTTCTCAAGCGTACGCGAGAAAATCGAAATCAAAAATAATGAGTGCCGTATAAATACGTATGGAATAGAGCGTTATATCGAAGAGCGTGTGGCGTAGCGTTAAGGGGCTAGACACGTACCGTCGAGGTTAGAGGTTCGATTCTCAAGGAGTGACTTTTTTTTTAATATTTTTTTATTTTAAATAAAATTTTTTTTTACCATAAAATGTAATTTTTACACAAAATAAATGTAAATAACACGATTTATTTACTTATAACACGTATATTACAAAAATGCATTTTTCTTTGCCTCAAAAAGCCGTGAAAAGCCGTCTGTAGAATAGCTGTATGCGATAGGAACTTGTATGATTATCTGTTTAATTAAAATTATCCGATTTATGTCGTGTTTGGTGTCGTTGAAATCGCAAAAATCTCAATAATCCATTAATATTATTTTCGAATAGATAAAATGCAAAATAAAGGTTTTAGTTTTTCACTTATAAGATGTTATATTGTGAATTGCCATGGATGGGGAAGCCTATTGTTCGAGAGTTCGGAACGTTCTTTGATCTCGATACTCGGGCTCTCGGGCCGCTTATCTTTTCGAGCTCACTCACAACTCGTCGGTGCGAGAGAGAAAGCGAGACTGCGTATAGAGCGAGCGAGAGGACCTATCATCAAAGAAAGTTCCGAACTCTCGAACAATAGGCTTCCCCATCCATGGCAATTCACAAATATAAACATCTTATAAGTGAAAAACTAAAACCTTTATTTTGCATTTTATCTATTCAAAATAATATTAATGGATTATTGAGATTTTTGCGATTTCAACGACACCAAACACGACATAAATCGGATAATTTTTAATTAAACAGATAATCATACAAGTTCCTATCGCATACAGCTATTCTACAGACGGCTTTTCACGGCTTTTTGAGGCAAAGAAAATGCATTTTTGTAATATACGTGTTATAAGTAAATAAATCGTGTTATTTACATTTATTTTGTGTAAAAATTACATTTATGGTAAAAAAAATTTTATTTAAAATAAAAAAATATTAAAAAAAAAGTCACTCCTTGAGAATCGAACCTCTAATCTCGACGGTACGTGTCTAGCCCCTTAACGCTACGCCACACGCTCTTCGATATAACGCTCTATTCCATACGTATTTATACGGCACTCATTATTTTTGATTTCGATTTTCTCGCGTACGCTTGAGAAATGCATTTTATCTCTTATTCCACAATAATTAAAAGGATTTCATTAAATTGACAAATATAGTCGTACTAAAAAAAAAAAAAAAAAAATTGGCCCTGCGAGGTCTCGAACTCATCTCCTTTAACAGCTACGTGTTACTGGCGCTCATCTGTGCACATAGCACGGAATCGAACCACGTACCGTGCACATAGCCTGTTACCACTCGGGAGCATCGTGCACATGGCTACGTAGTTCAATGTGCACGTTTTGTGCACATAGAGGCGCTTTGAATTCCGGTTGCAGCTAAATCGAGGGGATGACCACTCTCATCCTTCTCTCTGCACACACATGCTAAACAATTTTCAATGTTGTGTAGTTGGCACACTGAGTGCCTGCATTGAAGGAGCCATAATCGCTTATTTCTTTGTTACAATTGTCATGTATTTATATTCCTGAAAAGTAATCTCTTTGTTCTATTGTTGCAATAAAGAGAGACTGGCCGGAAATATGGCCAAAACTAAAACAATTAGCAAAGGATGCCCCAAGTGTGAGCAACAGGTATTTCTAAATTGTCTTTTTTTTCCTATATATTTATATATTTCTTTATATATATTAAATATAATATATGTATAAAATGGCGTACTATTTGTTTTCTAATATTTCGCATTTATCGTGAATTAAATCTTCCACTTTCTTTTGCTACTTATCAAATGTTTTTTGCTATTTTAAGTAAATCTTTAGTAAACAAATTTACATTGAAAATATTGTGAAATAAGAAAATATATATAATATATATATATATATATATATATATATAATATTGATTATTCAAAAATTTAATTTAATAATATTTTTATTATACATATTGTTTCAATAATTTTATAAATTTAGTAGATATGAAATATTTGTTTATTAATTGCTTTTTATATTTATTTATTTTATTTATTTTATTTTTTGACATAATGAATACATAGAAATTGCAATTGTGCATTGAAGAAAATATTGTTAATAAACATTATCATATAAGGTACCTGTTGCCTGCAAAGCTTGTCCCTGTGGACATTCCTTTTTAATGCACGGCGCAATTCTATCAAAAGTCCACCCAGTCCTGATGGTGGCGCAATGAAAACAAGGAGAACTAATCGTATTA